ATGCGGCGCTTCCGACGCGACATTGCGTTTATTTCGCAAATTTTAACGCCGGCACCGACGGTATTGTACTTCTTCTTGCTTACAGAAGCCGTTGCGTTTTCAAGTTTAGCATGTTCTGCAATTAATAGTTCTTCTTTTTCCCACTTCATTTATTTCACTCTACTCTTCTTTTGTCAGGCTTATGCCAATAACTTAATTCAATTACGCTGTGAAGCATTCCTAGGAACTACTGATGAATGATTATCCTTCCCGGAGGCCCCATGTAGCTACAGTACCGGCATATCTTAGTTCCAAAATCAGAGTAGGATAATTATGGGTGATGATAGGACGCTACGTTTGTCAGTATGTGTGCATGTGTATGTATATTTCTCTGTCTCTCACAAAATCACTCTTTTATCAAAGTCAAAAAGCAGTTATTAATTATAATTTTGTCAACTGCAAGATTGAAGGGATTCTGTGTTGAGTTTACTGGGAAATTCGTTTTTTTGTATTCCAGGAAACGCATAATCAAGGATAAGCGAATTTATAGGATGAAGAATTTTTTTTAGCAAAAATATAGGTCAGCAAACCAAACGTGCATTTTGACGTCTTAAGATGGTAATCTGCTTCATAGGTTTTTTCAATGAATAAACTATCATTTAGGGACGAAAATCGAATGAGCGCACCGAACAAACTCATAAGTTGCAAAAAATTTTGCAGGAAAGTCTGTTATTGTTTAATAATTGCTCAAAACAGTTAGATGACACCGTTTATGAAACACTGATATGGTAGCAAGATTTTCATGACGAACGGCCAAACACTCAAATTGTCAGAGGTTATGAAAGGAATCAGAGCATCTCGACAAAGAAAAGGCGTGTACACTGTACTTTCACAGATGTCGCAGAAATGCTGCTCTGTGTATGCAGACTTTTTACAAACCATTCTTTATGAATTACTGAGAGTAGTCCAATTAACATGACAGAGGAAGATAGGTGAATGGGAAAGGATTTCTTGAAAGCGGCAAAAATCTAATCGATGAAGTAAATGCTACCGCTGCTCAAAAGAACCCGTTTTAGCACAGTTTTCTCGAAAACAGTTCCCTATTAGGAGTGCTGTTTAGGACATACCTTTTGAAATGAAATGCACCTTAGTGAAAAGATGTAAGTTACAGGCGAGACTAGACCTTTTGAGTGGGAAAATGCAGAAAATAAATTGCTTCTAGCAAAGTGTTATTGCTCATACCGTGACATGCAGTAAACGAAAGAATCAGTAGATTACAGTGAACATTTGATAAGGCCGTCGCCTCCTTAGAAGAGTTGTCAAACCTGCAGACTATCTAGAAATATGACCAAGCCTATGCTTATCGGAAGAAAACAATATTTTAGCAGTGCAAAATTGAAACGTTTTTTGTGGATGATTCAACAACAAAGATAGCATTGCACGTGCTGCTATAAACCTCCAGTGAACAAATAATCATTAAAATTTATTTTGATGTTAAATGTTATGGGCAAATTGGATTTGTACATAGAAAAATTAAAGCGTCTCAGCTGGATTCTTTTGATGGATGAATTGGATCCTCATTGAGCAATTTGATTAGTTCTGGCCTTGTTTTGGCATAATCCTGAATGGATTTCTTTGCAACTGGACCAACACCAAGACGCACAGCACAACGAGCAAGCGAATGAGTGCTGGAAGAAGTTCATGCAGACCTGAACAGATGTTACCAAGGTGCACATACCTGTTTACTATTGTGTTACATTGCTTTGTAGCTTGGCGAATATAATGAATGGTGAGTAGCATAAAGATTATACTTATTGTGCTCAAAATCATCGGACCAAACGTCATTATCTTTAACCACAACCCAGCCTCAAACATTAAATTAAAGAACAAGTAGACGACGCTCTTTAGATTGTCAGCAGTAGATGGTCAAAATATCTACTGACACATACTCAACAAAAGCTTCTGTCAATCACAAAGATTAGTTTTACCACTTTGCATGTAATTTCTTTGAATAGCTACCATTTTATTATCACACGATTTAGATATGCACTATTTTTAAAGGCATTAAAGCAAGGATTCAAAGCGGGCGTGCTTTAAACATTGCCAATAATTAGCTTAGTTTCATTATGCAAATTTCATGGAGGAGATATTTACATGGTTTCCGCGAGTTCCATCGAGTGTAGTATAACCATTTTCCAAGGCTATTGGAAGGAATTGGTAGTGAAAGTCTATTAAGAAACCAGATGAACATATTTAGTGCTAATTAATATAGTAATAAAACGTGCTGAGATGGGCATATTTATCAAATGCTGAGTTGCAACAAGGATAATTAAATAATCCCCCTACAATAGGGATAACTTTTTATTCTAACAGAAGTCTCCGAAAATTCCTGTGTAACCACTCCACTACCAGTGTATTGACTACAAATCGTAGTTGACTTTTTATTGCAAAGTCAGGTATGAACAATGTTTTCAACACCTTTTTTGCAGAGTCACGAAAATCCAGAAGCATAACCAAGTTCTCTTGAGCTAAGTCATGAGCTTTGTAGTGTTTCCACATTTCCCTTCTTAATCCTACAGCATGAGCTTTGTAGTAGTTCCACATTTCCTTCCTTAATCCTACAGCATGAGTGATTATTTCGAACAAGCCATCACATCCAACAACTCTTAGACTACATTTGACGTATCATCGTAGAACCGATGATTCCTTGCTGTACCGTATCTGACCTCTTGTGAGGGGCGGGCTATGCCTA